CTTTGGGGGGGAAGGTGGCGGGGGGAGCACGAGCATGGAGGAAGAGAAGATGGCATAAGCATAAACGTTCGACCGTCCGCGCGGGTGTATGGATCTGCGCTGGACCCCGTCTGAGGAGGTTCCAGCGCCAATCCGAGAAATCGGCGTGGAGAGCTCCGACAGTTTCTGTGTATGCAGTTGTTTGTTCTTCGAGGAGTGGTGGAAAAACACAAGCTGTAGTTAGGAGGCAGTCGCAAAAACGAACAAGGGCTACTGAGGCCGACTAGGGTGCCACTAGGCCAGCTTAGGATATACTGGCACCGCCGATGCTTTAAAAAAACTCCCAAGAGCTTCAGAGGAAGACAAACAGACATACACATAAACTTTGGGAGCTACGCGCGGATTTGCTGGAGGGCCCAGCGCGGATCCAAGAAACCCGCGCGGAGCGCCAAGAAATGATGTGCATGCCTTTGTTTGTTCGACGGTGGGGGGGCACAGGCAGTAGCTGGACAGCAACTCCTGGAAGATCTTTGAAACAAAAAACGATTTTAAGGGATATCGGGACCGATCAGGGGGCCAATAGGCCGCATTAACTCAGACTATACCAAATCAAGCCCAGGATCGAGCTCGAGCATGCCGGACTGAGCGGAAGGAGGCGAGATCGGGCGGGACTCTGCCGGATTAGGTCGCCTTTCGACCACGGATCTACCAGCGCCGATGCCGAAAGTAACCTCCCAGGGAATGCATCCGACCAGTGTCAACGGCACGCATCCGCAAGGAACCCATCGTGGCGCTGCTGCTGAGAGTCGTGGATACTCTTCTTCCCTCCGGGAAGCCAAAATCATTAATGTTAACAAGGTTTTGGCCACAGTTTGGCCTCATGGGGGCAACGGTAATTTACTACGGCCCCTCCTTTGATCGATCTCCACCGAGATGGCCCCAAGATGGCCCCCGAGGTTCCCAAGAGTGCCCCAAGAGGGCCCCAAAAAGGCGCCCCTTCAGCCTTCAGCTTAAAGAGGCCGCCCCCAAGATGCCCCCAAGATGCCTCCACAAGGCCCCCTACGCAACTCCCAAGAGACCTGCAAGATGCCCGAAAAGGCTCCCCCGGTGCAGCCAAGACGCTTCAAGAGGCCCCCGGGACCGCCACGAGGCCCCCAAGAGGCCCCAAGAGGCCTACAAGAAACTCCCAAGAAACAGCCGAAGAGACTCCGAGAAGCATCCCAAAACCTCTGGCCTGTCTGCACGTCCTCCTCCTCCTCCGCCTCCTCCTCTTCCTCCTCCTCTTCCTCTTCCTGGTCTTCCTCCTCCTCCTCCTCCTCCTCCTCCTCCTCCTCCTCCTCCTTCTCTTACTCGTCCGCCTCATATTCCTCCTCCCTCCTCCCTCCTCCGTCTTCCCACTCCCCCTCCCCGTGCCCCTCCTCCTCCTTTTCCTCCTGATCCTCCTCGTCCTCCTCCTCCTCTTTCTTCGGTTCCGTCTCCATCCTCCCAATATTTGGGTACTACGGCTTCCCAGGCATGTATTCCATTGCGTGCTCCCCCACATGCCTGATCAGGGCAACTCGCCTGGGCATCGCTTCTGGATGGGATGGTGGGATTATTTTTTTGATTTGCGGCCCGCAAGGAGAAGCCCAGAGGGCGGTGTGAACGAGGCTGGGGCACAACGCGCGGGAAAGCAGATAATTAACGGCGCTGGACAATGCCTGCCGAAGAGGCAACCGCGAAGGCGCCAGCTGAAGCCCAGGCGCCACCACGCGACCTTCAAAAGCCGCTGAGCGTGTGCCAGCAGACGGGGGTGGGGGAAATAATACAGACAATTAGCGAAGCTGGCACTGTGCCAGCAATACAAGCAACCGAGAAGGCACCAACACAAAATAAACTACGCTGGACATGCGCCAGCAAACAGGCAACCGCGAAGACACCAGCTGAAGCCCTGGCGCCACCACGCGGACCCCAAAAGCCGCTGAGCGCGTGCCAGCGGAAGGGGGAGGGCGGAAAGGCCAAACCCGCAGGTGGGGTCAGACTGCCAGGCGGAACGTGCCAAAACCACTCACTTCCCCCTCTTGGAACGTGGGCCAGCTTGCACGCCACCGAGGGGGTTCGGGTCAATGCCTGGAGAAAGCCGACCACAGGAGAGAGCGCCCGCGATGGCCTCAGGTACCAAGGAGGTGCGAGGCCTCCGCTCCCAGAAGGCCCACCTGTGGCAGTAGCCAACGTCTAGCACAAGCGTCAGAGCGGTGCCTTGACCGACGTTCGCGTCCGCCGATGTCGGCAAGCGGCCGACCGCGCACGCCCATGTGAAAGGGGGTCAGAAGTCGCCGTCCCTGCGGGCGACGAAATGGAAGCCACTGCGCGTTGCCGACTCCAAAGGATGGGGCACCTGGAAGGGCTGAAGCCAGCGTCCGATGCGTCCCGGCCCGCATGCGGCGCGGGCAAAATGATGGAGTGGAGCACGCCGAGAGCGGGCGAAGCGCCTTGAGCGAGCCATCTCGGAGCACCACGGGCCGCCACTGCGGCCAAACCGACGACGGGATTATTTCAGCCGGCCGAACGGGCTAAAGGCCCACGAGAACGCAGGAACTATCGCGGTGGTAGGGGGGTACCTCAACCCCAGGAGGTAACATCAGTCCGCCCCAGTGGCCCACTGCATCGGTGAAACATGTCCTGTCGCTGGCTGTGCCGACAGGTGTGGCCGCCTGGTGGGAACCCAGTGGCCCCGGGGCCCACGGCAACTCATCCCCCATCGGAAGTCGCTTCCCTGTGGCGACGAGGAAGGGGGGGTAGCAGCCGATCGCCGCAGTCATGAGTGTAGAAGCAGTGGCGACGAGAAAGGGGGTCAGCAGCCGATAGCCGCAAGATGACAGACAGCACGTGGCGACGAGGGAAGGGGAGCGCAGCCGATAGCCGCGGAACTGGAAAGTGAGGCGAGAGGTCGGGGCGAGCGGCCTGAGCCGCAGGACGTCGCCTGGGGTGGGAACGTCCTAGGGGAAGGAGTCCCACGGTACACGTGCGCGGCAAATCTTCCGCGAAGGGGGTCACGCGTTGCCCCAGAAGCCCAACGCCGTGCGCCTTGGCGGCTTTTGGTTGGGCCGGCCTCGCCCTAGTCGGGGGGGCCCTGCCAGGCCCGCTGCCGGACTACCAGCGCGCGAGCTCCCTTCCTCGCTGCCGCTTGTCGGCGTATTGCTCGTCACTTTTCGGGGCGGTCCTTTTCTCCCTGTTCCCCCGCGTAGCTCCCCTCCATGAGCTATCGTGGTGGCCCCACCCTTCCCATCGCGGCCTTGGGCGCCATGGGGCTCCAGACCCCGAGCATCCGACGTCACCTATATCTAAGAGCAAGCTTGTTTTTCGAACTTTATGATATATTATGTCAAATAAGAGATCGACGTCTCCTATTTCACATATGTACATACATACATGCGAACGATCATCAACATATCACTATCTAGATACATACGTAGAGACATACGTCGATACATACACATATACATACGCACATACGTGCATACGTATAGCACTGCATGCATACACTAATATAAACATGCGTCGCCACACATTACGCATACTTGCATGCATACATTTATACACACTCTCTCACACACGTACACATACACACAAACACATATACACAGACACATACATACATGCACTCGTACACATACACACCTACACACCTACACACACAGGTGTCATACGCACACACACACCCATGTTTGCACGCATACGCTGAGACACACACGCATACATACATACACACATACACACATACACGCATACACACATACACACATACACACATACATACATACATACGTACAAACATACATACATACAGGCTCGTACACATACCTGTTCATGCGTGCACATGCACCCGAGTAAGAATACCAGACGGCCCGAGACAGCCCCAAGAGGGCCATTTTTTCCCAGAGCGTCCCAAGATGGGCCTCCAAGACGCCCCAAAGACGGCTCCAAGACGGCTGCCAGGCGGCGCCCGAGACAGCCCCAAGACAATCCAATATTGCCCAGCACGGCCCAAGATGGGCCTCCAAGAACTCCCAAAGAAGGCTCCAACCGGCCCCCAAACGGCACTGGAACATTCACGTGGGGATGGCGAATGGTGCCGAAGGCATGGCGACTGAATGTTCCATCGTTTTCCTGTGGAACAGCAGTTCGCTGTTCGCTCATCAGCCAAAGTGAAACAGCAAGTATGTGTATGTCGCTGTCTCTGACAGCGTGCGTGGATGGCAAGTCTTGGCGACTTCACATACCATGCCGACTACATCTTCATCCGAGTATGTCCAGTAGAACCTGGGGTTCATGAAGCTGGCCTGTGTCTCGCCCAGGTGCAGCCAAAGGTGAAATTTCGGAACAATGTTCTAAAAGCTCATTGTGTGACCGCGCAGCCTCAACACTCAACGCGTTGTACAAAATCGCAAGGCGTTTCCCCAACTGCTTTAATCCACCTACTGCGGAGGGTGTTAAAAACATGTCTTGGCTCCTCAAGATGCAATAAAACCTACCCAAAATCTCAGCCACTGCTAATCTTCTTTTGGCATGCGCAGTTCCATCGTTGTACTTACGCGCCAAATACACTGCGCACCCTGGCATGTGGCGCGAATCGGCAGCGTTGGCTTTGAATTTTGTGTAACCGCTCGAGGACCGCAAACGCGCAAAAGCAATCTTGCCTTGAAGGTGATTGAATCCACTTTGCTGCTGCCTTTGCCACTCCCTGTGGTCTGCATGAAGGGCGGTAACTTGCTCCTGCTGAGTTGCGCCCATGTGGGCCATACGTTCCCACGTGATCGAACCGAGAACGTGCGAGCAGACGCCCTGATCGATGGCGCGGAGCACATCGATCATGCAGTACTCGAGCCTGAACCCAACCACTTTTCGAAATAACATGGGAAGCTCTCGCCCTTTAGCGCGCAACTCAAATTCGCAGCTCTCTGTAGTTCTCAGCGCGTGGCGCCGGCCTGCTTGATCGGTAGCATCAGTAAACCTCGTCTGTGGATTAATGATGCTGGCTT